TTTTAGTTTAAATATTTAATATTTGTTTTAAGGACCAGTACTTTTTTTAATTAATAAATTTTACATTTTTGTATAAGTAGACAAACAAAAAAAGTTTTAAAATTTTAAAGTTTCATCATTCAATAAGTTATGCAAAAATCTTTTTCCTACAAGATGAATGAAATTTGATAGATAATCAGAGAAATATTGTCAGCAGTGTTATAAAGATCTTTATTCATATAGAGATATTTATAAAGTTAAGCTCAACTGAATATTTGCAGTATCGAGATAAATGCCTATGTAATTTGTTTTGACTTTGACACCAGTAACTCTAAAAATTTTAAAGTTTTTTCAAAACAATTAAGGAAACTCTTTCTTTATGGATGTTTGTTTGTTTTTTTAATATTTTTAAAGCTAATTACCCTTTTTCTTATGTTTTATTGTTATAAAATTTTTCCAGAAAATTTTTCTTATGTTTTGTTGTTATAAAATATTCCCTAAAAATATTTTAATTACTTGTTTTATGTTAGTAACTTTTTAAAATTATATTAAATGGTAATCACAAAGTATGCTAGAATGTAGCATTACTTAACATTGCAAACAAACTTTTTTTTTTAAATCCATGAAATGAAAACATAGCGACTTGATGAAATTAATTTAATAAAAAAAGAGTTACTTAATATAATTTAATATTATGTAACACTACTCTTATAATATTTAACTTTAATAATGCAAATTTTTATAACTGCTTAAAGCATAAAGTTTTTGATTTTAGAAATACAAAAAGCTCTAATTTCTACATATCTTTAATCTTCCTATAATTTTTTTTTTTAATTTAGGTAGAGATTTAAAGGTTTGTTCCCCAGAGATGACATGTTGCAATGTTGGTGCTGAACGTAATCTTGTGCAAGCTAGCGAGCGTTTGCAAGGAAGTTTACAAATTCCTGTATACAAAAATTTAAGTGAAGCCCTTCTACTAACCTCCACAAATTTTATGGGTAAATTTATAATATAAATATAATATAAATATAAATATAATATAAATATATATGTGTGTGTGAAACACAATATAGGTAAATTGACTTCAAAGAGAAAAATGTTAAACATTTGTTTATGACATGGCTAAAATAATGGTTGAACTACCATTGGTAGTGCAGAAACTTTTAATAAAAAGTTTGTGCCAACAATATACTTTTGTTTGGAGTTCTGGAGTCCATTATTTATTTTCTAGAGTTTCTATAGTTTTATAAAAACATGAAAAAGCCAAAATTTTATGTAAATTTACATTAAATAAAAATTAAAGTTAATTTTTTTTTATTATCGAAATGTTTTTAGTGCATATTTTCTTTGTAATTATAAGGTTGTTAATGATTTTCTCTTATTGGTAATAGTATGAGGAGAGAATAGTTTTAGAAATTAAATTTTTTAGAAATATTTCGCAAATTCATGAATAAATCTCAAAAAAACTTGGACACCATGTTTGAAGAAACATATGGATCTCGATATGAAAATAACATTTATGTATTTAAATCACTTTATCATGCTTTGCATCAATATATTAATGGAAGTGAGCTTGATTTAGAGACAACTGTGGATTTATTTTTTGCTAAATTGCATGAAAAAATATATGTCATGCTTCACCCATTTTCAAATTTTGATAAGAAATTTGAAAACTGTATTAATGAAAATACAAACTTTGTTCGACCTTTTGGAGAAATTCAACAGTTAATTAGACAACAGACTTCTCGTTCATTTATGGCAGCAAGAATGTTTTTGCACAGTCTAAAAGAGGCTAATAATATTATTTCAGAACTGTCACAAATGGCTTTTCATGATGAATGTTCAGTTGCATTTATGCGAATGACACAGTGTTCTATATGTAATGATGTGCCGTCCAGCATAAAGCCTTGTTTAAATTATTGTCAAAATGTCATGAAAGGATGTTTTTCCTACATCATCATGATTCAGCCCAAATGGAATGATTTCTTAATAAATCTTATTACTCTAGCACAGAAACTTGAAGGTCCTTTCAGTATCGAAGCTGTTGTTGAACCCTTAGGTGTTAAAATTTCTGAAGCCATCATGATCTTTCAAGAAAATCAAGGAAATATAACTGCTAAGGTACTTATTTCATGTTGCATTAAATGTTATATATTAAATATATTTTATGTTAAGTATAATTTGATATTTTTATGTTATATAGGATTTAACTTAAAGTTGCAAATTTTTTAATATTATAGTTATTAAGAATTTAAATTGTGTTAACTATATTGCATATGATATTGTATTAATAATTTTTAGGTGGAAGAAAAATGTGGCAAACCTACTCCCAATAATAACATTGAACTAAGCAAAAACAAAAAACGCCGTTCTGCTCTTTTAAAAGGTGAAATGAAACTAAAAAGTTCTAATCTACCATTGATATTTAATGTTGATTCAGAGAAAAAGAAAGTTACTTCAGAATTAGAAAGGTAACTAATTTTGTGTGATATGATATTTAATAGTCACAAAGAGTTATTAAATTATTCTTTTAAAAATATTTCTACATTGGTAAAGTTATATTGAATATGCTAGCTTTGTTGACTTGAGTATTTTCTATTTAATCTAATTATACACAATTGAAATTATTTTTTAACTAAATATTTGTAGTAATTATTATTTTTATTTAATATCTGATCTCTAAAGTATAGGTGAACTAGACTAAAATTTAATTAAAATTTTTGTTTTTTTTTTGTTTATTTATTTATAATTGTGATTTTGAATATTTGTAATTAATTATAACAATTAACATTAAAGCATTTTTTTATTTACTTCCATATTGAAACTAATATATTTTAATCAATATATTATCTTATTTTACTCTGGTTTCTGTGTGGTTATTCTTTATGAGTTTTCATTTCCATTTTAAATAGTAGTTGCCTGCATCAATTTTTTTTTTACTTTTAACAAAAAAAATTTTCTGTCTGATATAATTACCTATAATTTGAGAAATACTTGACAAATAATTTTTTTGTATAATGAGTATGAATAAGTTTATTGATTTAAATAACGTTTTTAACCAGTTTGTACAGATTTCAAAGGACTCTTGAAATGTAATTAACATTTTTTGAGAGAAGGTTCCATCATGGTCTGGATCTTGCTTTCAGTGACTATTCATTTTTGCTCTAATTCTTTTTTCGCTGATTTGTTTTTAATTTTTGTTTTTGTTTTTCAACAAGATTTCTTTTACAAGTAACCAGTAACTCTCAATTATAAAATTTTATGCCATTTTGAATCTATTTCGATCTAATAAATGGCATATGACGTATCTGTTTTCTAATATTATTTCTAGTCTAATATAATTAGCAATAACTTGAGATTTTTTAACATAAAATACTTAACAAATTAATTTCTTTTATATATATATATATATATATATATATATATATATATATATATATATATATATATATATATATATATATATATATATATATATATATATATATATATATATATAACAACGTTATATATTTAATTGTATTAGTGTTTTACTAATGTTATTTATCCTACTAGTTTATCGGTCCAAAATGAGTAAACAATAAAATAATCATAAAAAAGTGAAATTTTCCTTCATGATCATAAATAATTTTTAATATGAATTTATATAATAAGCAGCTTAGGTCTGTTTTATATGACTCATTAATTTAATAATATTTTTATTCGGCCTGTTATTTATTACTCAAAATTTATGAGTAAATTGTTTGCTAACATCTTTAACTGTCTAACCATATATAATACTTTTTTAGTCTGTTAATTGAAAGTCAAAAAACATTCCGTAGTCTTATACATCATTGGTTGGAGCTTCCTGAAAAGATATGTAATGATGAGTTATTTAGTGCTTCAAATGAAGTTCCATGTTGGAATGGAATGAATTCCTCAGGGTATGTATATATTATAAATATTTAAAAAAATTATATGGATGAATGAACATGGTTTAGTGAAGTGCTTTTCGTTTTAGATACGAGTATTCAGTTGTTACCAACTCAATTGATGACTTGTTCAAGAAGAATCCTGAGGTGAAAAGCAATCCTCTGAAAGCAAATATGGGTATTCTTAATCTTGATTATAAATTAGGACTTTTGATTAAAGGAGTACAAAAAGCTTTAGCAGGTAAAATTGATCCTGAATGTCCTGATTGTGAGAATGGGGAAAGTAGTAGTGGCAGCAGTGCAGATGGAAGTGGTGATGGTAGTGGTGATAAAGATAATGAATCTGGTAGTGGAGATGAAACTACTACGACAATACCTAATCATTGTGATAACAGTGTTGATGATGATTGCGTATCCAACAAGAATACGCATAAAACCAAAAATACTGAAGAGAGTAAAAATGATATTCATATCTATGAACCAATTATTAATTTGTCTACATCGAGTAGTGCTACTGATATTTTTCTAAACTTAATATTATTATTACTGGGTCTAACGGCTTTTGGTATATTATGAATTAAATGAATTAATTTAAAGGTTTAAAACTAAGACTTATAATGCACATACAGAGCATGCATAACGATGACATACTCAATTCCTTAAACCTAAAAAAGGTTGGGCTATGTTTTTTTAAATAAAAAATTATACGTTACGTTAAACATTTTTATTTATATATGATGTACAAATTCTAAATTTTTTTTAATGTGTAGTAAAACGTACGTAGATGCTTCACATCATGCTTTTAATGGAAATATTGTTTTGTGAGAGCTTTAAACGTTTTTTTCTTTTTTTTTACTTTTTTTAATATATTGTATAAAGTGTTTTGATTTAAGTTTGATTTTTTTTTCTGTTTTGTTGATTTTTTTTATTCTTTTTTTATTGGATAATCTATATATTTTTTTGGTACTGTAAATTATAATTTATGATCTTGAAGGTCAATGTTTTACAACCACTTTTTTATGGTTAAAAAAAACATAAGGGTCATGTAAATTTTTTTTATTTAAATTGTAAAAATTAACGATGTGAATTATCATACGCAAAATTATATAATATCTTGATTTTTACATAGCGATGTGATTCCACTTTTGAATCTTGAAAACCCTTTTAATTATTGATGAAGTAGTGTTGTTTTAAGGTTTTTCTTCTAATAATTTATTTACATAAATACACAAGTTACATAATTTATATTTTGTTCAAATGCAAAAAGTAAAACACTCTCAAGTAATTTTTTCAAAATAGCTTATGACAAGTTCATAGATTTTCACTTAATTATTAAAATATCTTTTAAAAATTTATATGTTCAAGGGTTATAAACTGATATCGCCGTTTTTGCTAAGCATATATATTTTTTTAAATATCTTTTTTTTTTGGAGAGGAAATATTATTATTTTGCAGTTTTTTATTAAAAAATAAAAAACTGCAAAAAAAAATTTTTTTTAAGTAATTTTTTTATTCATAATGGTATTGTAAAATCTGTGATATTAGCAAAACCTCAAATTTTAATGTTATAATGCCAAGTCAAGTTGTTAGGTTTTGAAGTTCAAAAACGAATAACTTGACTTTGCATCTATTACTTTAACTTAAAAAATTTTGAACTCAGTTTAATTGGTATATTCTAACTGCTTAACATTTTGATTCAAAGTGTTTCGAATTCTTTCAAAAATTATTGCATTTTAAACAAAATCCGTTTAAAATAGATATAATTCAAATAATCGACTATTAGTTAAAAATAGCCTTCTTTGGTGGGGGTGTCCCTTCCCTCACCCTCTCTCAAAATTGCCCCTGAGTCCAAATCCTCTTTATCAAATATGTAATGTTTTCCTAGTTACATACAATATTAGAAAAACACTTTTATAACTTCTTTTTGATGATTTAATTAAACTGTTATCCATGTATTAGAAAGCTTTTTTAAAGAGCTGTTTGTATCAATACTATCAATTACCTGCATTAATATCAATTATTATAATTACTATCAATCAAAGATGATTTGTTTACAATGTCACGCACGTTATACGCTGAATAATTCAAAAAAAAAGTTATTGTAATCGTTTCATAACATCGTGCGTCCTTATGAGTGTTTCACAAAAAAAGAAAAAAATGTGCTTGTTTTGTTTACTTATTAGCAACATATTTTTTAAGCCGTTAAGGAAGTTAGTTTGTTTGCGACACAGCGGTCGATACAACGAGGAGATTAAAAACGATTTACCAGATTTATTTAACATTTAAATACAACAAATTTCAACATATTAGACATTTTTTTTTAAGTTCAAGTTAGTCAAGAATATTTAAAGCCCCTCTTCCCTTGCTTCTTACACGTGTTTGGCTTATTGTTTTATATGAAACTAAACTCTACAGAGAATTTTCTGATATTGGCAAGTTTACATCATCCCAATTTTCTATTATTTATATTCCGTCAAGAAGCTAATTTAAAGATTAAAATTTTTTAATGGTTCAAATTGTTAACCTGTTCGTTGCCAACTACTATGAATATACTTATTTTAACGTCCATTATTTGCCAAATGGTCGTAGAAAACTGGCGTGATGAGTTAACCAATTACGAGTAAACGCGTAGTTCTACAAGCTTATTTCATAATAAAAAAAAATTAAAAATGAATAGGTTTTAATGTTTTAGTTCTCAGTTGATTTTTAGAATAAATTACAAACAAGCTTGTACTTTAAAACCCCCTGGAGGTTTAAATGTATATAAAAACAAAAAAGTTTAAAACAGATAAAAGTAAAATGTATTTACTTTTGCATTTTTCTTTCATTAAAAATATTGTGTAAGTTTATAATTTTAAGTAATATATTTTAAAACATTCGCTAACGCGTAAAAGTGATCTTTCACAAACAAATGTTTTGTTCAACAAAAAGGTTATTGAACAAAACATCAGAATAATTAACAAAGCAACGCAACATTAAATATATGGTAGATTAGGGTAATACGAGCACCTTGGTAATATGAGCATACTTAAAGGTTTCTTAGATGTAAGCAGTTAAATTAAAGTTGCTTTGTATTTTTTGAATCGACTTTATGTAGTGATAACAGGATTCTGTGCAACTAACGTAAATTTATATGCGATAATTAGCGGCTATCATATAATTAAAACGCTGTTAAATTTTTTGCGTTATTAAATTAATATCATCACGCATGAATAAATCTGTGGCATGAAATTTTGGTGCTAAAAAAAAAATAACTTTTTCACAAAGAAAAGTATGTTAGCTGAAAATCCAATCCATTTTTGTTTGAAAAACAATGTATCGAAACATTTAGTTATGACTTTATTTAAAGCTGCCATTTTTTTGCAATATGAGCATTCTTAAATTACCTAGTGTTTTTAATTGAAATTATCTAGTTTAAAGTCCTAAAATAGCAGTAAATTTTAATTGCTTTTTGAATAAGAACAAAACATAGTAAAAAATTTTATTATTTTAACAATACTACAACTTTTCTGTAACTTAAAGACAAAAAATCTTTTATTGTTTGAAGGTTTAATAAGGAGTTAATAAAATTGAAAAAATAACGATCTAATTTTTTTCTTTTTTCCAGAAAACATAGTAATATTGTTTCAACAAAAAGTGGCTCAAAATTTTATCTTTTAATGATAAGTTTTGTTAATAGCGAATCATTATATTCCAAAAGTTAATTCTAATTGTGAGGTTGGTAATTTTTTACTTGATTAATGTTATTTTTTTGAGCTAATTTAAAGTGCTCATATTACCAAGTGGTGAGGGTAATATGTGCACTTTTGCTACTTTTTTAAAACCTCTGTGTTTTTAAGATGTGGATCATGAGTAGGGATCCCTTAAAATTGTTTATTTACAAAAATTTTGTATCCAGCATAAATATTTTTTTAAACATTTTAATTTTCGCTTAAGGTGTTCATATTACCTTTATCTATCCTAAAATATATATTTGAGCAGCCGTGGCGCAGTGGTAACCCAATTGCTTCAGATAAAAAGGATCCGTGGTTCAAACCCCACCTCTGGGTAAGTTTTGCGACATCGGTTAGGAAGGAGGCCTGACCTTCCTATTAAATGGTCATCTGCGGTGCTCTGTGACAAGACCGTAAGGACTTGTTGGGGCACCTTAATAAAATTTATATTTATATATATATATATATATATATATATATATATATATATATATATATATATATATATATATATATATATATATATATATATATATCTTCTTTGCTATAGCATTTTTACAAAATGAATAAGCAAAAAAGTAAGAGATCAAAAAAAAATTATTCTAACCATATTATAAGTTCACAAGTTTGAAGAACTATATTATAATTATAATATTATCTTTATTAGAACTATGTTAAAACTATTATATTATAACGGTTTTATAGAGTCTTCTTAATGTTTGTTTTTTCTTTTCTTTTATATTTTTTTTTGTTTTTAAAATCAATTCATAGTATTAATCGAATCCATTTTCAAAAGTATTGGACAACCTCCAGGTAAATGCCTAATTGGCAGTCCTGCCTAATTAGATTAGACTTGACTGTGATTGTGTCAGCTTTTTTTGTACGCCTCATTCCAAGTCTAATTTAGGTTTCTAGCTTTTATTTTGAGCGTATAGTTCTCAGTTTATAGTACCTTTTTGATTTTCTATTTTCAGCGAAAATTAGGAAATAAAAATTAGGAATATCTGAAAAAAGTAAAACGTGCCTAGATTGTTGCACTTCACAAAAATAGAATGCCACATTTTATTATATACGTCAAATATTGGCACAATTTAGTGTCAGTAAGCCATCTGTTAAAATTGTTATGACCGTTGAAAAAAAGGTAAACAAACCATAGAGACGAAAACATATGAAACGTATAGTTGCGCAATTTCCAATGAGTTCTTGAAAAAATCTTCGCGCTCAGCTCCTCACAAAAGGTAATAATGTTAGTATCAGCACAGTTTTGCTTCGCCTCAGCAAAGAATTTGAATTAAAATTGTATAAACCATCTATAAAACCACGACTGACACATTTGATGAAAAAGAAAAGATTAGAACTTGACAAAAAGCACCAGCATTGGACTCTAGGGTTTGTTTTGCGCGGCTTACAACTTTTTTTTTTTATCGCCATAAAATTCATCCCGATTGAATTTCTCTACAGTTCTTTTAATAGATGGCTTATTAACACTAAATTGTGCTAATATAAGTGTTATTTTTTGATGAAACAACACTGTAACAGTTCATTATTCGAAAAAAGCATATCCGTAGAACCGTTGAAAAACAATTTGACAAAAAGTTTACTCTTTCAACCATAAAACATTCTCCCAGTCAGATAATATGGGGTGCCATGAGTAAAAACGGTACTGCTAGTCTATTTTTTATCTCTTGGGAAAACCATGAATGGTTAGAAGTATGTTGAATTACTCATAGAAAAGATGAAAAGATGAATCTAATTATGGCAATATTTGCAGCCATCAAAGATGTGTGGGTGAAAGAAATCAAGGAAAACAATTGCGCGTCACTTGTGGTTAGTATGCCTCGCTTTGCATACAAAATAGTTAAATGTTTTCGCCATGACTAGTAAATAATTATTTTACCATAGTTTCATGTTTTTCTGATAAACTACGTTTTCTGAGGGGTGCACAGTGGGCCTTAATATTATAGAAGGTTTCTCACTAAAAATATCTTGCGCAAAGTTGCGCCAATTAAAGTTTAGCAAGTTTTAAACATACAACTCGTTTGTCATTTTTAATTGTTCAAAGCACATTTTTGTTAAGTATGAACTCTAAATAATTAATTGCAATTACGGAAACTACAAAAAACATTAAATTATAATGCTATTCCACTTTATTAAGTAATGTGGTTTTTTTATTTATGAACTTAAACTTATTTCAGCTAATGTCCGATAATGTTTTTAATTATGTAAAATACAAATCCTATTTAAAAACTTTAAAAAACTATAATTATATTTTTAAACTTGAAAGTATCTACTACCAATCACTTTAAAAAAATAAAGGAATTACTCAAAAATTGTTTCATGCTTTGGAAAACAATTTAATCAAATCAGTTACCGACCCTGATGCTTATAAAGTTACAG